TCACTTCATTTTCAAGACTTCCTTAGTATAAGTTGTCAGAAATGGATTACTGAGTTGAAGGATGTGACATTTTTATGGATTTTGAGACATAATGCCATTCCCCCCCCATTTAAAAGAAAATATATGTCCACTGGTTTGACCATTATTGGGTTTTACAATGCCCCCCCCTTTTTAGTTGAGGGTAGGGTATTTTTGTTAATTTGATAGGTACATTGGTCCACACTCTTTAAGTTATTGATGTCAGAAGTACCATTTCAACTGGAATGAAAAAAAAACCAAAAACAGGTATTAGTTCAAGGAATAAGCATTTATGAAGCATCAGTACAGCTGGATCCAGAATTATGATTTTGTTGTTGTTATTGTTAATCCTCACCTGAGGCTACTTTCCCACTGATTTTCAGATAGAGTGGAAGGGAGGGAGGGAGACAGGAAGAGAGAGGGAGAGGGAGAGGGAGAGGGAGAGGGAGAGGGAGAGGGAGGGAGAGAGAGAGAGAGAGAGAGAGAGAGAGAGAGAGAGAGAGAGATGTTGGTTGTCTCCCACATGGGGATTGAACCTGCAACACAGGTACATGCCCTTTTTTTAAAAATTTCATTTCTTTATTGATTTTTTAGAGAGAGAGGAAGGGAGAGGGAGAGAGAGATAGAAACATCGATGAGAGAGAATATCGATTGGCTGCCTCCTGCATGCCCCCCACTGGGGATTTGGCCCACAACCTGGGCATGTGCCCTGAATGGAATCGAACCTGAGACCCTTGGGTCTTCGGGCCAACATTCTACCACTGAGCCAAACTGGCCAGGGCTAGAGCCAGAATGAAACAGGACCAAAACTCTCAAGTGGAGAAATAGCCATGTCTGTATCTGACTCATATTACTCTAGCTCTGTAATTCCAGCACCATCCTAGAGAAGCCCTCTAATTGGTTGAGCTTGGGACATGTGTCCATGATGAGGAGGGAGGAGGAACTATGCTGACTGCCTCAAATAGTGGCCCATACAACCTCTCATGTTTTTGCTCCTACAAGTCAGAGTCCAGAAGGCCTAAGTGTGCAAAAGAGCAATTAAATGTGTCGCAAACCATGAAGAAAATCTTTGCAAGACACTAAAGTTCAAAGTATAAGAGAGGGAGTGATTAGATTTTGGGGTCAGTCATTGAAGAGTTTATGAAACAGCTATGCATTAGTGCAGGTTCTGACAATTGCCAGGGACAGAAACCACACCCCAAGTGAATTAAGCAATAAAGAACAACTTCTTGGGCTCATATAAGTGAAAAGTCAGACCTAATGGCTTCAGGCATAGCTGGATACAGGGGCTCAAACTAGGCCTCCCTGTCCACCAAGTAGCTCTTATGTATATTGGATTCTTGTGTATGTTGGAACCTGATGACATTAAGTTTTCACTAACTTGCAAATATTACTATTTCACTAAACAGAAATATCTCACTATTTCACTTTTAACAACCTCCATGAAAACACTCTTCTCCCTTCTAGCCCTCAGAAGCCCTCTCAAGGGAAATTCTAATTGGCCTTGGTAGGTCATGTGCTCCTCTTTTAATATATCACTGTGGTCATGGGAATGGAGAACTCTGATTGGCCACCCCTATGTTGAAAGGACTGATAAAAACCGCAGTGACCTCAGTCTACCACATGGGGACACCCAAGTAGCGTTTTTTCAAGGGTGAGTAGGAGTTTGCCAATTGGGCAAAAGAAAGCCTCTGCATAGAAAAGTCTAGAAAAGACTCTCCCTCCCATTTTCTCCCTCCCTTGAATTTGCCCACACCCTTCTCTTCTCCCTCCCCCTCTCCCCGGTGCCTTACCATTATCTTCCTCATTCCCAAACTCCAAGGGCCCTTCCTTTACCTCTATAACTTGTTTCCTAAGCCTATTTCTTTAACAATTGACTTCTTCTACCTCTGATTTTTTTCAAGTAAGTGTTCTCTACAGTTTGAGTCTTGGCTCTGAATTCTTTCCCAGTCAGGGCTCAAGTACTGAGGTTGCTGAACCCAGGTCCATTCTGACACCACAGGTCTAGCACCTGGTGCCATCCCACCACCCACAACATCACTATTTAAAAAAAAAAAAAAGTCAGAAAGGAGTAATCCAGCACAAGATTTTGTTCCTCCTTCCACCACCATATTAATGCTGAGACATTGCACATACCTGTACCTGTTTCTGTTGTTTACATCAAGTGGCCTTTACCCTTAAGAAACAAAACTTGGGCCCTGGCCAGTTTGGCTAAGCAGGTAGAGTGTTGGCCCACAGACTGAAGGGTCTCAAGTCGGATTCCAGTCAAGGGCACGTACCTGAGTTTCAGGTTTGATCCCTGGCCCTGGTGAGGGTCTTGTGGGAGGCAACCAATGGATTTGTCTCTCTCACATTGATGTTTCTCTTTCCCTCCCTCCCATCCACTCTATCTAAAAATCAATGTGAAAATATCCTTGGGTGAGGATTAACCAAAAAACAAAACAAACAAAGCTTGGGAGTTCACCCTAATCCCTCTAACACAGTTAGCACATCACTGTTGGCCACCTACCAGTATCCTGCACACATTCCAGACCTCACCAGCTCCCATGGGAGAAGCCCTGAGCTGATGATAGATGGGACTTGAAGAACAAACACTCTAGCTGTCCTGACCCTTAACAGGACCACAATGAGACATGAGCTGTAATGCTGTTTCCCAGAGGTCCCCAGCTGGATTGACCCCTGTTGCTTTCTGTGTCATCTACTCACTGGTGCCCCCTGCAGATTTAGACAGAGAGAAGAAAACCATGTGAAGAAAAAGATATTGGAGTGATGTGTCCACAAGCCGAAGAACTACAAAGATTGCCAACAATTAGCAGAAACTGGGAGAGCAGCATGGGACCGTTACTGGAAAGGAGACCTGGCCCTGAGTGGGTCTGCCTAGAGCTGGGCCAATAATGTGTGGGTTCTGGACTTTGTGTAGGAAAAATAGTACATGAGTCCAGGTGAGTTTTAGAGGACATTTATTTATTTTAGGTAACTGGGTTTTTGTTTTGTTTTCCTTTATTGATTTTAGAAAGAGAGGAAGGGAGAAGGAGAGAGAGGTAGAAATATCAATGAGAGAACATCAATTGGCTGCCTCCTGCATGCCCCCTTCTGGGGATTTGGCCCACAACCTGGGCATGTGCTCTGACCTTGAATCAACCTGGCAACCTCTTGTTGCATGGGTCAACGCTCAAACACTGAGCCACACAAGCTGGGGATTGTAAAACAAGAAAGGGCTGCCCTGGCCAGTTTGGCTCAGCGGTTAGAGCGTCGGCCTGCGGTCCGGAGAGACCCGGGTTCGGTTCCCGCTAAGGGCACATACTTTGGTTGCAGTTTGTCCCCAGCCCTGGTTGGTCGTGCAGGTGGCAGCCACTCGATGTATCCCTTCGCGTCGATGTTTCTCTCTCTCTCCTTCCTCTCTCTCCCTCCCACTCTATCTGTATAAAAAATGGAAAAATATCCTCGGGTGAGGATTAAAAAAAAAAAAAAAAAAAGGGCTGAGGAAAGTAGCCTAGGCTGGTCTGCTTTGGCTCACTAAGTCAGAGAAAAGGGAGCCTTGGGGATAGGTTCAGGGGCTTTGTCTGGGAGGAACTGCCACTACCTATTGCTTCCCTGGTTGCAAGCCTTGTGGGACCCTTAGAGTCTAGGAGATGCATGCCTGTGGGGGAAGGTGAGGCGTGGGTTTGCTCCTGGGAAGCAGATCACTCGCTACCTCCTTTGTTTTGGGGCTTTTATTTCTCTCTTTCAGGCAGGAATCTTAGGGGAGATCTCAGGGGAAAATTTCAACAGAATATTCATCAGTTTTCTAGGTGTGTTTCTTCAGGATCATGGTCCTCGATGATTGGTCAGTGTCAGGGCAGGATGTTTAGTCCTTGCAGCTGGTCCTGGTGTTGTCCACCTCGTTTTGTGGCTTTTCTGGGTCTAGAGCTGAAATACAACAGAGACCTAGATGTTATTTCGAGGGAGGTGACCTTCTGTATCTTCTGTAAATTGCTGTCAGTTTGTCCAGCTATCTGTCTCAATTTCTCAGGTTTACTGGCCAGTCTCAGGGTGAATGGTCCCTCAGGGCCTTTTGTAGGAAGCAACCCTAGTGACACCTTGATTTCGGACTTCTATTGTGGTAATCTGTTACAGCAGCCCAAGGAAAGAATACATTTACCTACTTACTTTGTTTATTGTCTCCGCAACTGGTTCTAAGCCAGAAGAGTGCCAGTTTTCTCAGGTTTGTTCACTTGTGTTTCCAAGAGCAGGCAAGAAGTAGGTGCTCTATAAATATTTATTGCACGCCCATGCATTGTGCTTAGTATGTGTTTGGTGTTGTCCAAAGTGCTTACATATGGCTTAACTCGGCTCATCCTCACTGCAACCTTCCACAGCAGACACTATCATTATACCCATTTTATAGGGGGGATAACTAAGAGTCAGAGAGGTACAGTCAGGATTCCAACTTACCAAAAGATGTGCCTTGGATAACGACCAACTACAACTGTGAAAACACAAGAGTAGGAGCCCGAACGCATTTCCTAATAACCGTGGAGCCTTGGTTTCTCCAACTGCAAGATGGAATGAGTAACCAGCTTTCCGAAACCACAGCCTATAGCCCAGATCAGCTTGTGTTTCATGTGAGCATGCGCTCTCATCCTCAAGGCCTCCGGCGCCGGCGCCGGCGCCGGCGCGCGTTGCTCTGCTCCCTTTTGCAACACTTACCGCTGCACTTTACGGCTCTCATCTCTCATTCCTCTGGCGGGAACACGGCTCGCCCCGCCCCTTGTGCCTAGCAGGCCCCGCTCTACTCCACGTGGATTGGGTGCTTTTCCCTGAGCCCCGTGCTAACTGGCTCCCGTCGCTGCCATTCCATTCAGCTTAATAGCGCGCGGCGGGGAAGCTACCGGCGGGCGCGTGAACGGCAGCGTTGGCGTCGGAAGTCGCTGGTGGGCTAAGTCCCTGCCGACACCATGGTGAGGGCAAGGTGACGGCGAGTTTTCGCCAGGAAGCCGAGGCTGCGGCCTCCAAGGCCTCTCGGGGCTGGCGCTGGGGCAGGGCGACGCGGAGTGAGTGTGTAATCCCAGCCTCGAGGCCTGCCTTTCAGCCCCAGGCAGAGAAACTGAGACCGGAGAGGGCAGCGGGGTCTCCTCGGGTCTCCAGCGCATCGGTCTCTGGGAACAGGGTTGAACGAACGTGTAAACCATAGTATGGCGGCCCAGCCGCAGTTTTCCCATTTTGCAGATGGGGAAGCAGGCCGAAGAGGAAGGGCCCAGTGAATACAGAAGAGTGAGTTTGGCAGGGTTGTGTCCCGGAGTGCATCCGACCCAGTGTAACCTCATATTGGGGAGCTGGAATGCCAGGAAGTAAGGAGCTCGTCTGAGTTCTCAAGTTGAACTAGTTGTGGAGATTTCAGGGCTTGTAAGGCCCTTAAAATGTTAGTAGAACAACTTCCTGTGCCTCTCGTTTTCAGGCTGAAAAACAGACCCAGGAAAGGGGTTTGCTTCTCCCTGGATCACAAAGCAGGGGAGAGGACATTTTGAGCCACGAGTAGACTAACTGGGCTCTCTCTGTAACAAGGAAAAATTGAGAGTCTGACAGGGAAACAGGACCCCACAGAGGAATTCAGAATTGGGCCTCCTGGGAGAGTGCTTGGCCCATCAGCACCTGAGTCACTCTGAGACTGTTGCTGCATGTTTCTCAGGGTGGGTGAAGGTTCCCACAAATATTGCTGACTAGTACAAGAATTGAGAGAGGTGACCGGGTTCCTCTCTGCTGGAAGACAGAGTTGGTCCGAGGGGATGACAATGATTTCTCTTGGTTAACGTAAGCTCCATGGAGGCAGGATCTTTGTGTTTATCCTTGATATATTCTCGGAGTCTAGAACAGTGCAAAGTGCAGACTCATTTTTCAACTGGAAGAGTGTCCAGGAGTTAAGGCATGACATACCTCCAGTTCCCTGTGGTCATGGCAGCCCAAAGCAGAGGGCTAGGTATGTACGTGGGCATGGTCCATGGCAGCTTCTTGAATTGCGAACCTTAGGAGCCCATAGGGTCTAGGCCAGGATTGGTCCAAACCTGAGAACCAGATACCAAATGTGAGAAAGCCCAGAGAAAGGAATCCTGTTTCCTTTAGCTTTTCTGACTTGCCCAATTCCAGATGGCTCAGTCTCCCCCAGAACTGGGTGTCCAGCTCTCTCTCGTTTCCCTTGACCCCTTCATGCATATTCCTCTTACCCATGGAGTTTTAAGTTCTCCAGGATCTTCCCCCTCTTTCCTTCATCTCCAGCACAGTTTGGGGATGAGGATACAGATGTTAAAATATGGCCACTGCTTCTGGCCATTGCAGCAGTGGTGGGCTGTCTGGATGCCACCTCTCCCTTGAGCCTCTTATTTGTGGAGTGGGGCAAGCATCTCACCCACCCCATGTGCCCCCATGGGCAGTATGTGTATTTCCCTTGTTATTTGTTTAGCAAATATTTACTTTGTCTGTCTGGTGTGTGCCTGGCCCTGTGCTTGGCGCTGGACAAAGTCCACACCTGAGTTTTCCAGTCTAGCAGGAGGTGTGGTGTTTCAAGTCTAGCCAGGGAGACAAGTAAACAAGATAATTAGAGACTGGCTACATCCTATAATGGAAACAGCAGAAGGTGGCCCAGGTGGAAACCTCATTTCCTAAATGGGGTTATTATGAGGGCCTGGCAGAGGGAGGTGATGTTTGAGCAGCACCCCAGGCAGAGGGAACCGCAGGAGCAAAGGTTGAGCAGTAGGAACCTGCTTGGTGTGTGAAGAACAGAGTGGGCCAGTTTGCTGGAGACTTGCCAGGGCTGGCCTTGTGGCCCACCTGGGGAGTGGGTAATAGAGGGAAGCCAGGGGAGGGCTGGGAGCAAGTGCTGGTCCCTTCTGTGTTCCAGACGTCCTCTCAGCTACTTTGTGGATAGGGCACTGCCAGTGACAACTGTGGATGCTGTGGGTCCTCCAGAACTGTGCTGCCAGTAGCTGGGACGAGGTGGTAATGACCTGAGAGAAGCCATCATCAGCATAGGGGTTGTGTATGTCAAAAGGACATCTGTGGGTCCCCTGCTGACAGGCATCAGTCTACTTTTCACTGGCTTTACCAGGACCTTGCTCTGTGTCCCTGGGCAGTTCCCTCCTATGACCCTCCCTCCACCTCTTGGCAACTGAGTCCATTTTCCTTCTCACATTCCAGGGCTAGCCTGACCCTGTCCCCTCTGCAGGGATCTGGGAGGAGGACCCAGGTGTCTCATCACCTTGGTTCAGATTCCCACTACCCTGTAGCTTCTCCATAGTAAAAGGCAATCCGGGCATGTGGCCCCAAGTTCGGATATGAGCATCCTGTTTCTCCTTCACGACCTGGGTACAGTGTCACACAGATGGCACCCAAAGGAGAGGGCAGGAGCTGTGGGTTGGCCATGTTGGTCGCCAACCTGCCCATCCTCCTTGGAGCAACTGCCTCCTCCATGTGGCCCGTTCTTATCTTGCCAGTCCAGGAAGCCAGTACAGGAAATGGGCTTGGGCCTGGCTTCCTGTTGTCGCTGGACGTCCCCTGGTGACTCTTAGGGAAGGCCTGTGAGATACTGGATTTGCCCCCAACCCAAAACCTTTCATGGTGAGCCATGCTATGGGGGTTGAGAGCCACTTATGTCTCCATAGGAGACACCTTCCAGTTCTACCACCTGGAGAAACAGCTGCCCCAAATTGAATGGGGAGTGTGAGACTAGGGCAGGATGAAGCAAAACCTCATTTCTCCTTGAGGCAGTTTCCTGTCTGCAGGGCCCTCAGTCCAGAACCTTCATCTAGCCATACTGAATGGGCTGCCATTGTACCCTAGACCCAAGCACTGCCACCTGAGTTACCTTCTGGAGAGCCAGAAGTGGCTCCAGTGTACGGGTCCTGATTTGTATTCCCAAAATGAGAAGAGCTGATTCCCACCCCCCACCCTGTTACACCATGTTTGTTATAAAAAAGAAATTCTGTAATGATGGAAAAAGAAATATCTTTAAAGCCTACCTTATCTGGATGAGCTTTAAAAGACTCCATCCTTTATCTGTCATCTGTTGCATTAACCATAAACTTTTTCTAGAATGTTTATTCCTCTTACCTGGTGAATTCCTGTCTTTGAAAACCCAGTTCAGATGTGGCTTCCTCAGATCAAGATAGAGTCCCCATTGTGCCTTGCCTGGTTACTCTTGGTCCAGTTGGGGCTGCCCTCTGCTACGGACACACGGGGTCAAGCCAAGCTCTCTCTCTCACTAGCTCTAGTGCTGGGTAACATTCTCAGCCTCTAAGCCTTAGTATCCTCATTCATAAAGAGAGGGTGAAGATAACCATACACAGTGCTGGAAATGAAAGACCTGAAGCTGCATGTATTTCTGTGGATGCGTCTCAGACATCAGTTGAGCAAAACAGCAGCAGAGGGACCTGTACTCTGTGATGCTATTGATAAGCATGGCAGGTGTGAGGAAAATGTACAGTGTAAGTTATAAAAACAAACAAATAACTAAACGGTCACCACTAGGCCTAGGTGTCAGCTGCTGCCTCTCGGAGGGGAGATGGGACTTGAGACAGACATTCTTTGCTAAACTGGGAGGCAGCTGTTTGGAAGAGGAGGAGAATGCCTCTTCCTTTATGGGGTTTAGGCATGTGTGCTCCTGTATCCCTGGTGCTATCGTGAGATCCTGCCCAGAGGCCTGGGGCTCCCAGGAGCTGATTAAATAGACATATCGTGTGCCCTTGATTGCCTTTCAGCTCCCGTTGTCACTGCTGAAGACGGCTCAGAATCATCCCATGGTATGTGCCATCTGGGACGGTGAGTTTCAGTGGGGACCAGCCTCAGCACAGGGACAGGGACACTAGGTGAAGGGTGAGGTGCCTCCAGCCAAACCTGCTTTCCTGCCTATCCACAAAACAGCAGTTTGTTCTCTTCCTTCCCACATGGGTCAGTACTGCTGTCATTTTTGCTGCTTATAAAAGTAATGTGTCCTTATTAAAAATGTCAAACGGGCCCTGGCTGGTTTGGCTCAGCAGTTCCAGCATTGGCCTGCGGTCCAGAGAGACCCAGGTTCGGTTTCCGCTAAGGGCACATACCTTGGTTGCAGTTTGTCTTCAGCCCTGGTTGGGTCGTGTGGGAGGCAGCCACTTGATGTGTCCCTTTCACATCAATGTTTCTCTCTCTCTCCCTCCCACACTATCAGAACAAAATATTGAAAAATGTCCTCGAGTGAGGATGAAAAAAAAAAGTCAAACGGATAAAAAGTCAAATGTGAGTTAGACTTACAGTGGAAGGGCCTCTGCATATATTTATTTTCTTTGTTTTTTGTTTTTCTCTTTTTAATCTTTTTTTTTTTTTTTTTTAATCTTCACCCAAGAACATTTTTGCATTTACCTTTCAGATAGGGCAGGAGGAAGCGAGGGAGGAAGAGAGAGAGAAACATCGATGTGAGATGTTTCAACCAGGGCCAGGGATGAACCACAACCGAAGTGCATGCTGTTAGCGGGAACCAAACCCGGGACTCTGGTCCATGGGCTGACACTCTAACCACTGAGCCAAACCAGCCAGGGCTGTTTTGTTTTGTTTTGTTTTGTTTTCTTTCTTTTTTCTATGTTACCTAGGTATTCCAGTGAGAGAGCTACTTTAGGAGAGTCCTTTTTTTTTTTTTAAGGTTATTTTTATTGATTTTACAGAGAAGAAGGGAGAGGGGGAGAGAGAGAAACATCGATGCAAGAGAACATCAATTGGCCACCTCCTGCATGCACCCCCACTGGGGATTGGGCCCACAACCTGGGCATGTGCCCTGACCAGAAATCGAACTGGCAACCTCTGGGTGCATGGGTCGCCGCTCAACCACTGAGCCACACTGGCTGGGCTGATTTGTTTTCTTTTTATTCAGTATAATTTAAATACCATAAAACTCAACCTTTTAAGGTGAACAATGAGCCCTGGCCAGTTTGGCTCAGCGGTTAGAGCGTCGGCCTGCGGTCTGGAGAGACCCGGGTTCGGTTTCCGCTAAGGGCACGTACTTCGGTTGCAGTTTGTCCCCGGCCCTGGTTGGTCGTGCGTGTGGCAGCCACTCAATGTGTCCCTTCACGTCGATGTTTCTCTCTTTCTCTCTCTCCCTTCCTCTCTCTCCCTCCCACTCTGTCTGTACAAAAAAATGGAAAAATGACCTCGGGTGAGGATAAAAATAAATAAATAAATAAAGTGAACAATGAAATGGCCTTTAGTACATTCACGATTTGTACAACCATCACCTATCTCTGGACCCAGAACATTTCCATCACCCAAATGAGACCTCATCCTCATTAGCAATTACTCCGCATCCTTCTCACCCAGTCCCTGAGAACCACCAATCTAATTCCTGTCTATGGATTTGCCTCTTCTGGACACTTTATATAACACGTGTCCTGTGTGTTTGGCTTCTTGCATTTAGCGTGATGTTTTTAGGGTTCATCCACATTGTATTGTGTGTCAGTGCTTTACTCCTTTTTGTGCTGAATAATATTCCATTGTGTGGATGATGTGTTTATCCATTCACCAGTTGATGTACATTTGGGTTGTTTCTATTGGCTATTTGTGAATATTTGGCTTCTGTCAATGTTTTGTGTACATATTTTTTTTTGGATATATGCCTTTGTTTCTCTTGGGCAGCTACCTGAGTTGGTTCTTTGTTAAATCACAACCTTTGTTGTTTTGGTGTGTTCCCCCCCCCACACACACACACAAAGGTTCTCTCAGAGAAAATCTACAATGCCCAGGAAAGTATGCAGAGAAAGCAGAACATGTTCTGTAAGATGGACCTCTCCTGGGGCCCGGACACTGTGTGCAGTGGCCCCTGGGTCCTGAAAGGAGTGGAGGACATGTCTGAATGAGATTAGGGCTGCTCTGACTAGCAGGGGTGCACTTCCCTTGGGTCCTGTGGCTGACTTGGGTCCTGTTTCTCTGTAGTTAGTGGAGCTTAAAAACGGGGAGACGTACAATGGGCACCTGGTAAGCTGCGACAACTGGATGAACATCAACCTGCGCGAGGTGATCTGCACATCCAGGGTGAGTATCCTGAGCTGGAGTCTGTGCCCAGCACCTGGAGGCATTGGGTGGGGCAGGCAGGCATGGGGAGTAGGAGTGACGTGACCAGGAGCGCACACTTGGGCTGGAGTCTTACAGAGCCTCAGCATTCTGGCTTCCAAATGGAGTGAAGGCGCTTCCCTGCACCTTTTGGGAGGAGTAGGAGTGCTTACTCAGCCTACAAGTCACCCTACCGGGGGCAGGGCCTGAGGGATAGGGCTCCAAGTGCCCCAGTGCCCTGGACTTTGAACCTGTGAGGACTATGTACCTGTGGGGATTCTTCTCTAACAGGTACTGAGTTGCCATTTCTGTCCTCCCACCATTGCTTCCACCCCTGACCAAGAAGGACTCAGGCCTGAAAGGGCATTTCTGGCTACAAGTCCCTGCTTTACTGGCGGGGGTTGGCCTCCAGGTTGGCCTTCCTGTCAGCCTTGGCTGCTGCCGTTCCAGATTGAGGCCATGGCTTATCCAGGCCACCAGGGGGCGAGGATGGCCCTGTGGCCCCAGAGGCTTGTTTACCTCCCCAGGCCTGAAGCCAGGAAGTGAAGGGCCAGAACCTGAGCCACCAGGGCTGGGGGAGGGTCCCTGGGGTCACAGGTTGGCATGACCCCACAGCTGTGAGGACAAGCACAGTGGTGGAGGCAGGCCCCCTCCCACTAGCTTGCATGGGCTCTGTCCTTATGCCTGGACTCCATTGTTGGTCCCTATGCTGGTGACAGCACCCCAAGTTACAGAGGAAAAGCTGGTAGGGGCCCCAGCCAGGGTGGGGTTGTCTTGAGCCTGTGGGCAGTGTGTCCCTAGGGTTTGCCATGCCAGAGTAAAGCACAGTGTAAGGCAGCTACCCTACCCCTGGCCCATCCTTCTGGATGGTTCACACTCGAACAGGCAGATTGGTGGGCATGACCCCTTCCCTCACCTACACAGCTACGTGACCTGCTTCTTGTAATGGTACATTGTGGAGCTTCCACATCAGCTAGAAGCTCTCTCTTGGTTTTTTTGCTACATGTCAGGCAGCAGGTGTGTGAGCAGCTCCTTGTGGCTTTAGCAGACAGTGCTGTAGTACATAACCTTGCATGCATGTCCTGCACATGGCCAGTGGGTCTGTGTCACTTGTGGGACCTAGAACCAACCACTGGGTTTGAGATGAGGTTGGTCTAGCCTCCAGAGTCAACTAAGCCTAGAAACATGGCTCCTCTGGGCAGTTTCCTCTGTAACCAGGTGGTTAGGAGGAAAGGCTGGGATGTGGTTTGAAATCCCTTGGGCAGTGGGTGGCAGAGTCCAGAGACCCTGTCACAGGGAAGCCTGGGTTGGGAGATGCTAAACTACTGCCATAGAAAGCAGAGTGAGCCCTGGTTTCCGCAGGGAGCGCACTGGGCCCAGGCTGTCGTTGGCTGAGGGAGAGCTGAGCAAGAAGCCAGCCCCAGCCCTGGCCTCGGGCTTCCATATAATCCTGTTTCTATCTGGCTGTACTTTGCATCCCCACAGACTTGGCCCCTCGCCCACTCTTTCTGAGAAAGGAATGTGCAGGGCCTCGTGGGGTTCCTGTGTGGGATGGGAGCTCATATACGTTCCTGGGAAGAGTCAGCCCTCGAATGTTCCGTCTGACCTTCTGAATGCCTCTGCTGGGCCAGACCAGACTGCTGGCAAGTGTCAGATGAGAGGATGGGATTTCAGGGGAGGCAAGTCTTGTCAAGGACCAGAGTTAGCTGGACAAGAAAAGGTAGGAACAGTGTGTGCAAAGTACTAGGGGCTGGAAACCCTCCTGTGTTTAAGAAAGTTTCATCTGGAAGATGTGTTTAGTGCCCACAGAGGGCTGCCAGAGTGGGGCTGGATATTGGGCCCTCAGGAGCCATGCTGTGTTTGGACCAAGGGGGCCTTAATTGGATTCTAATGGGGAGAGGTCTTGGTCTGATTTCTAAGGGTGTGGGCGGGGGGGGGGGGGGGGGGGAGGCTTCTGGCTTTAGGTAGTAGGGTGGGGCTAGAAAACTAATCTGATGGAAGAGGCCCCAGGCTCCTGCCCAAGGGCAGCAGGATGGAACTTCAAGGGAAGGCCTTGTGGTGGTTCCAGGGTATTGGGGGTGGAGGGCAGTCCATGTCCTAGGAACCACAGGTTTTGACTTTGAGAGCCCCCTTATGTCTCCAGCCTCAATTAGCTCCCCTGAAAACTCGCATCTTGGGGAGCTGCCCCTGGTGAGTGCCAGACCTGCCTCCTCACCCTCCTCGCAGCCCTCTTCACCTGTCACGTAGGGTCTTTATCCTGCTTCCCTGTGTCCCACACCAAGCTCAGACCCTGGCAGGAGATAGTTGGATGAATGAATGAGTCAGCTCCAGGTCCAGCTCAGTGGATCGATCTGATGCCCACACAGATCTGGGCCTTAAGTTCTCGTGTCCATACCTGACTGTGTCTGGGCATGGCATGGCACCTCCCTAGAAGAGGTTTCAGAAGGTGGGTTCTAGAAAGCTGGGGGAAGGAGCAAACAGGAACTGGGCTGTGGAAGTACCTGGTGCATGGGGCAGCTCACCACCCTGGACTTTGGGCTGCAGGTAACAAACCCCATCCCACACTGGAGGACAGGTTGAGGCCCTGGAGACTGTCTCCCATGTAACCCTGCTGCCCTTCCTCATGTACCAAGGGTGCTGAGGATCTGTTGAGACCTCACTGGAGGGGTCTCATGTTGTGTCTGGGACTGTGAACTTGGCAGCCTACTGGGGTGATGTCAGGTAGAAGTGACCTGGGACCACCCAGCTGTCTGTACTCACTCTGCAGGGACCCCCATGGATCTGAGATCCCCACCCCCTCTCATGCAGGATGGGGACAAGTTCTGGCGGATGCCCGAGTGCTACATCCGAGGCAGTACCATCAAGTACCTGCGCATTCCTGACGAGATTATTGACATGGTCAAGGAAGAGGTGGTGGCCAAAGGTCGTGGCCGTGGTGGCCTGCAGCAGCAGAAGCAGCAGAAAGGCCGTGGCATGGGGGGTGCCGGGCGAGGTAGGCCTTACACACATGCACGCACACTAGTGGCCGCAGCACGTGGCATCCATTTAGGCTCAATGTTGACATTCTTGACTGGTGCTCTCACAGTGCAGTGGGGCTGGCTCTGGGCCCTCCCCTCAACAGAGCTAGCAGAGCGGTGACTCAGGGCTCTTGTGGAGTGGCTCCTGCTGCTGACTGCTACTTACCCCTACCCAGACCCCAACCTGGTGTCCCAGCTGAGTCCTTGGTGCTCTTAGCTTCAGGTCCAGCCCAGCAGATTGATCTGGTGCCCACACAGACCTGGGTCTTAAGCCCTCCTCTTTATACCTGTCTGTATCTGGACATAGCATGGCACCTCCCTAAGCCTCAGTTTCCCCTCTGTAGACAGGGTCTGGCAGTGCCTTCATCAGGCTGTGGGCTAGGACCCCACCTCAGGGCCTGGCACAGGACCCTTCCCTGACTCCTTGATACAAAGCCAAGGTGACACCTTTTTGATTGACTCCTCCTCACTGCCCCAACATGACGACTCTGGTGTAAAATTAAATTTGTTGTGCAGTCAGTTGGGGCCCTAGCCCAGATGCTGTCTGTAAACCCCACCTTCCTGGTTGGGCTCCTGCTCTTGGAGTGGCCTGGCTTTTTCTCCCTTGTCTGTGGGGGCCTTCTGCCTGCCAGGCCTGGAGCCAGCCCTCATTCAGGCTCAGGTGACAGGAGTGAACCACAGGGCAGAAGGCGGGAGGGCCCTCCAGGCAGAGGGTGAACAAGAACTGGGGGTTAGCCCTGGCCAGTTTGGCTCAGCGGTTGGAGCATCGACCTGCGACCTGCGGACTAGAGAGTCCTGGGTTTGGTTTCTGCTAGGGGCACGTACCAAAAAAAAAAAGAGCAAGGGGTTAGTGGGGCCCCAGGTTTTCGGGGCCTCTCTCATACCTGAGGCCAGGCTCTTCGCATGGGGAGGGGGTTACCACTGATGACTGAGCTGCAGGGAGAGTTGGGGGTGTGGCCTGCTCAGACCACTCCTGAGAGAAGCCCCAGGAACTCCAGGTGGAAATCTCACAGAAGCCTCCTTGGCAAAGCTGGTCTTGACCCATGAAAGGTGAGGTGGTGCAAACCCTGCCAGCATTGGTTTCTCTACCCACAGGGTGGTGTTAGCATAAGGGAGGTCCTGGGTCCCCAGTGTAGACCTTAGCCTCAGAGTTGGGGGGTCTCTGCTCCACCCCTGGCCAGAGTCCCACCCGTCTTGGTTCCTGCTTCCCCCTCCCCAGCCTAAGCCCCCAGCCTCGCCCTGGACCCTCTCTCCCAGGAAGTCTGATCCAAGCCCCAATGTGACTTGTTGCTCACCTCTGTCCTCCCTTGCACTCTGGAGGATCTGGTGGTCTCTGCATGCCCAGCTCTGGTCAGACACCCCACCCCAGGTTTTCAGCCTGCTTTCCCCACTTTACAGAAGGGGTCACTGCGGCTCAGAGGGGTTAGAATACCTGGAGCCTGGCTCCCATGCGGCCTCCACTTCTGTCCTGCAGGTGTGTTTGGCGGCCGTGGCCGAGGTGGGATCTCAGGCACTGGCAGAGGTCAACCAGAAAAGAAGCCGGGCAGGCAAGCGGGCAAACAGTGAGCTGGTCCTGCGTCCCCCAGAGATTTGAGCCCTCCCCACCAGGCTTCGCATCTGCTCTAGTCTACGAGTCTGTTCAAAACAACAGAGGAGGCTGGTGTTAGGGGGGATCCCTACCTGTGCATTTTGTGATTCTCTTTATGTTAAATCCCTTTTTATTTTTAAATTGATTTTTGAGAGAAACATTGATGTGAAAGAAACATCGATATTGATCGCCTGGCTCCTACATGCTCCCCAACTGGGGATGGAACCCACAACCTGGGTATGTGCTGTGACCTTTTGGTGTATGGGATGGTGCTCCAACCAACTGAGCCACCCAGCCAGGGCATTAAGTCTTTTTCTTAAGCTAGCATGTTTACAGTTGGAAATGTTATTTGGTGTTTTTTGACTTTGTGAAGTTGCAGCCAACTTGATTCCTGGAAGGCTCTGTGTTAATGCATCTTTAGAGCCTTACCCTTGTGTTAACTGGGGCATTGTCCAAAATGGTTTGTTTTGTAGCTCATGCTGGATCTCTGTATGGTGAACAGCGGAGGAGATTTTCATTTTAAGCTTTTTGCCCTGAGATTGATAGTCCAGGGAGTTTTCCCGAAACAGACCTGAAATTGTCTTTTTATTTTTTATTTCATTTTATTTTTCATGTGCACAACCAATGGACATAGACATTCGGTTGGGCAAAGCAGGAGGGGGGTGGGAGTGAGAAGGAGGGGGTCAGTGGGGGACATCTGTAATACTTTCAACAATAAAAAAAAAGAAATAGTCTTTTTAAAACAAATCTCTGACACGTCTCAGAAGCTGTTGTGGGGAAGTTATTGGGCCCTGTTCCTTTGCCTCCTGTCTCCCTCTTTGTGTTACAAAAATAAAAACAAAACACAACTACAAACCACAGATCCAAAATTTCTTTTGAGCCACCCAGCACATATAACGTAGTATGTGGTGTCCTCAAAAGGTACAGACCCGCAAGAAGTTTTATTTCTAGAGCTGTGGCCCATCTCACCGAGGGTAAACATTTCAACAAGATACTTATCCCATGTCCCTGGGATGTTTTCTTATGAAAGGCAAGGTCTGAGACTGGTGTGGGAGCACCGGCTGCCCCAGGTTTGCAGGAAACCCCTTCCCTTTTTGTAGAGATGTGAGAGGTGGGGATGGGAGCCAGCAGGCACCCATAAGGCCCAGGCTTGCCACCAATATTCTGCTCTGTTTTACAAGCACCATTCACACCAGAGTTTAACCAGACAGACTGCTTCCAGGAATATATGGATTTTCTTGAGCTTTTTCCCTCCTCTCCAAGGCACCACCATCCACATTGCCTGAAACATTGAAGCCCCACTTTTTAATTTATTTTTTTAATATTTTTTTCTTTTAATGATTTCTTAGAGAGAGAGGAAGGGAGGGAGAGTGAGAGAGAAACATCGATGAGAAAGAACATTGACCAGCTGCCTTCTGCATGCCCCACACTGGGGATCGGGCCCCACAACCTGCGCATGTGCCCTGACTGGGAATTGAACCAGTGACCTCTTGGTGCATGAGTTGACACTCAACCACTGAGCCACACCAGCTAGGCTGAAGCACCACTTTTGCAAAGCTTCCAGTGTCATTGTCTGTGGACTGATTTTCTAAGTATAGGCATGTGCCAGGAGATGAATACTGACCACTTGTCACCATGTTGAGACCTGTTTTTAAAATTTTTTTTTCTTTATTTATTTTTAGAGAGAGAGAGAAACATCAATGAAAGAGAATATCGATTGGTCACCTCCTGGATGCCCCCAACTGGGTATTGGGCCCACAACCTGGGCATGTGCCCTGACCAGGAATCGAACCGATGACCTCTTGGTGCATGGGTCAACGCTCAACCACTGAGCCACACCGACCAGGCTTGAGACCTGTTTTGAGGGGGTAGGGAGTATAATAGAAGATGTTGCCCTGGAAACTCCACTTTTGGGATCTACAAAGTGTTAGAGGAGTCTCCAAGTCTGAAAGATCTCTAAACTGTAGATTTCTCCACCCTATCTCAAGAATGTGGTCTGGCCCTGGCCAGTTTGGCTCAGCAGTTAGAGCGTCGGCCTGCGGTCCGGAGAGACCCAGGTTCGGTTCCCGCTAAGGGCACGTACTTCGGTTGCAGTTTGTCCCTGGCCCTGGTTGGTCGTGCGGGTGGCAGCCACTCGATGTGTCCCTTCACGTCGATGTTTCTCACTCTCTCCCCCTTCCTCTCTTTCCCTCCCACTCTATCTGTACAAAAAATGGAAAAATATCCTCAGGTGAGGATAAAAAAAAAAAAAAAAAAAAGAATGTGGTCTGCCCCCACCCCAACCTCTATACCTCCATCATTGTTTCTTCCTGGTTGCACCCCTTTTGGAACCTACTGCTGTCTGAATCTTTGTCTAATAAAGCAACACTTTGGCCTGGCTGGAGATGGGGTGGGTGGTCTGTGGTTCAAGGCTGCTGACAGGGCTGAAGAGGCAAGAAGTAAAGGACTGGTGGGTAAGGAGGAGCCCTCTTCCCAGCACCCCGCCCCCCCATCACATTGCACACGGGTCCCCATACAGGCCTCTGGGGACTGGCAACAGGGCTCCTGCTGCAGTTATATCAGGTGGAGCTGTGATGAAATGGGGTCTCTGAGATCAGATGTCCCAAGGGCTGTGATGGGAAGTTTTTAGAGGCCTGCACCGTCCTGCTCCTGGCAGTTTGACTGGACCAAGAGTGTCCAGAGGCTCCTAGCACCCTTCTGAAGTTCAGGGCCCTAAATCTGTCTCTGGTCTCCACACTGCCCTCAGCCCCAGCCCACCCCAAGCCTGTGTAATCTTTATTTTATTTTTATTTTTTAAATGTTTTTAGAGAGAGGAAGGGAGATGGGGAGAGGCCAACATTGATTGGCTGCCTCCTGCATACCCGCTACTAGGGATCAAGCCTGCAACCAAGGCATGTGCCCTGGCTGGGAATCAAATCTCTGACCTTTTTGGTCCATGGGACCTTTTTGGTGCATGGGATGACAATCTTCTGAGGCATACCCTCCAGGGCAAGCCTATGTAATCTTGTGCTCACCTGGCCAGCTGTCCTGTCTTCTCACCCCAGACCTGAGCCACTGCCCTAGTCCGGTGCGTAGGTGACTTGGCTTCCTGAATGCTGTCTTGAGCTGGCTGTTGGGACAGCCCTGTTTCAGTCTTCTTCCTGGTTGGTTTCAAGAAATCAGCCTCAGCCTCTCACCAAGAAGAGAAACCAAAAGCAGGGGCCTCAATCTTTCTTTCTGTTCTGATGGTCTCAGCAGGGTCTGCACCCTCTCGGCGGACAGTGCAGGATCCTTGAGTGTGGCAGTGACCTCCTCCCCCTGGAGTTTGCTCCTGGTTGTCATCAGGGAACCTCATGTGCCCAGGTGTGACAGCCTGGGGTTAAGAGCCTGTTTCTGGGACTTACAGCCATCTGGGAGGGGACTCTGTTGCTTTTCTGTGACACCCCTGCCAGCACACGCTGAATCATTCCTCCTTAGAGTACTGCCCTGAGCCCACCACCCCCAACTCCTCCAGGTGGTGCGATGACAGCTGTCCTTTGCACCTTCCAGTTGGACCTTGGTGCCAGGCACATCCTGGCATTGGCAGGATGTGTCTCCAGTGGCTTAGCATGTGCCCCAGTGTCCTCTGCCATCCCCCTGTGGACAAAGGGCTGCTTAGCTAATGGGTGAAGGCCTGATGTCCACTCAACGCCACTGGGAGAAGCTACCTGACATGAGAGCAGAGGGCTGACTTAGGACAGAAGAACAGGGGCTACAACCCAGGTGCTTTTGGAGACGAAAGCAAAAGTAGGGAGTAGAGGTGGCCAGAAGGCAAGAGGGTGATATGTGAAAAGGGCTTGAGGGAGGCAAGAGAGCCAGCCATATGGGGGAAGAATGTTCAGATAGAGAAACAGCCTGTGCAAAGGCCCTGTGCAGATTGGTAATGAGCAAAGAGAGGGAGGCAGGAAATGGGGTGGATGCATGCCCTGAGCGAGATGAAAAATCACAGAGGGTTCTGGAACACAATGAGGCAAGGGTAGAAGCCAGGAGACCAGGAAGAGGTACTTCTGGGGACTCAGCTCAGGGTGGAGGCTATGAGGTGGAACAAGGCAAGGGTGCTGTGAGGACCCAGGCAGACGAGCTCCTCATTCCACAGGAAGCTCAGGACACTAAGGTAGGACTTTTCCACAGAGTAAAGTGGGATGCCTCAAGGAGCGGACACAGTCAAACCATCTCCAAAGAACAATAAGGCACTGGCCATGGGAAAACAGCAGAGAACAGGTGATGGATACAGCAAGTGGAAAGCTCCTGAGATTCTATGGCCTGCTCCTACAGATAGGCACAGAGAGGGTAAGCAACTGACCCTAGGTCACAGCTCCTCCCTCTGTTGCCTCCTTGAACTTGGAGGATCCATTTACCTTCTCTCAGTTCTGTTGTGTTAAGCAGAGTCAGGAGTCGAGTCATTTGGTGCAGGGAGCAGGCAAGGTCAGCTCCTGCTTAAAAATTCACTCCCCTTGCCCTGGCCGGTTTGGCTCAGCGGTTGGAGCGTCTGCCTGCGGTCCGGAGAGGCCCGGGTTTGGTTCCCGCTGGGGGCGTGTGCCTCGGTTGCAGTTTGTCCCCGGCCCTGGTTGGTCGTGCAGGTGGCGGCCACTCGATGTGTCCCTTTCACATCGATGTTTCCCTCTCTCTCTCCCTCCCATTCTGTCTGTACAAAAAATGGAGAAATGTCCTCAGGTGAGGATAAAAAAAAAAAAAAATTCACTCCCCTTGAGGTATCACCTCACACCTGTCAGAATGGCCGCCATCAACAAAACATCAAACAAGTGCTGGCGAGGGTGTGGAGAAAAGGGGACTCTAGTACACTGCTGGTGGGAATGCAGACTGGTGCAGCCACTATGGAAAACAATATGGTGTTTCCTCAAAAAGTTAAAAATTGAACTGCCATTTGACCCAGTAATCCCACTTCCAGGAATATATCCTAAGAAGCCTGAAACACCAATCAGAAAGAATATATGCACACCTATGTTCATGGCAGCACTATCTACAATAGCTAAGATCTGGAAACAGCCCAAGTGTCCATCAATAGATGAGTAGATAAAAAAGCTGTGGTGCCCTGGTCAGTTTGGCTCAGTGCTTGAGCGTCGGCCTGCGGACCAGAGAGTCCTGGGTTCGGTTCCTGCTAGGGGCACGTACGACAAAAAAAAAAGCTGTGGTACATTTACACAATGGAATACTATGCAGCTGTACAAAAGAAA